ATATCAATCACCTTTCTTGGGAATAGGAACAAATATTACACTCTTCCAATCTGTTGGCCAGATAGTTGTCTTCCAATTTTCCTGGCATAGACTGGTGAGGGCACTGAGGGCTGCATTTGTTAATTGAAACAAGTCAAATGGTATCTCAACAATTCCTGGGGCCTTATGTTTTGCCAGTGCCTTCAATGCAGCCTCTACTTCCTCCTTCATTACTGTTGGTTCCTACTCATATGGTCCTTCCTGAATTTTTTCAGTGTCAGTCAATTCTTTTTGGCACAGTGATTCTGGGTATTCCATCTAGCTTCTTTTGATGCTTTCTAGGTCGTTCAATATAGACTTTAAAGATGCCCATAGCATCTTTCAGTATTATGACTCGAGGCTTACATTTATTTTCAGTTCTCTCAGCTTGAGATATGCAGAGCAAGTTCTTCCCTTTTTATTCCACAATTCCAGCTGTCTACACATTCCATTCTAATACTTTGCTTTGTCTTCTCCAGCTGCCCTTTGAAATCTTCAGTTCAATTGTCTTACTTTGGCATGATTCTCTTTATTTTGTCTTCTCAACATTCTAGTACAATTTTTAGAGTCTCTTCTGACATTCATTTTTGGGTTTTTTTCCCCTCCTGTGTCTTTTTAATGATGTTTTGCTTTCCTCACGGATGATATCATCCCATAACTCGTCTGGTTATCAGTCACTGGTGATCATTGGTGTTCAGTGCTTTAAACTCATTTTTTTATTAATTTTAATAGAAATTTACAGAGATTTTGGATTTCCATTCATTCATTGCCGCACTTTTCTCCCTGCCCACCCCTCCCCACCAGTTCGCTCCCTTCTCCAAAAAGAAAAAGAAAAAAAATTCCTTCAGTAGTGTACAATTCCCACATCCCTTTTCTCCCACCCCCCACCCCGAGTACACTTCTCTATGCAACCTTTATTCTGGGTTCCTGTGCTAACCATAATACTCAATCATATACCACCTCTAATCTGTTCTTTCCCTCATCTGTTTCAATACAATATACATAATTGATCCAGTTTTTTCTTTCATACCCCAACCCTGATGTCAGACCCATTCCACAACAGTGGCACCATGCAGTATTTGTCCCTTTGTGACTGAGATATTTCACTCAGCATAATGTCCTCCAGGGTCACCCAGTTTGAATAATATTGCATGAGTTCCTTGTTTTTCAATGCGGAGTAGTATTCCATTGTGTGGATATATCACAGCTTCTCTATCCATTTGTTTGTTGATGGGCCCTTAGGTTGCTTCCAACTCTTTGCTATTGTAAACAAAGCTGCGATAAATAGGGGTGTGCATATATCTGCTTGGATGGTAGACATCATCTCTCTGGGGTATATTCCCAGTAATGGGATTGCTGGGTCAAATGGTATTCTATTTGCAGTTTTTTGAGAAAGGGCCACACTGCCTTCCACAATGGTTGCACCATCTTACATTCCCACCAACAGTGAATAAGAGTCCAGTTTCTCCACATCCTCGCCAGCATTTGTTGCTTGCTGTTCTGTTAAATTTTGCTATTCTGACTGGGGTGAGATGATATCTCATAGTTGTTTTGGTTTGCATCTCATTTTAAACTCGTTTTTAAGACAATCTTGCAGTGCAGATAGAATTAATTCAAGATCATATCTTAGTTCTTGTGAACTTATTTTTCTTTGGCCTCAATTTGTACTTGCACAAGAGTCATTGATGGTCTGACCCACAGTCTGTCTTTGGCCTAATTTTGACTACCAATATTGAGCTTCTCCAGTGATTTCTTCCCCAGATAGAGTCAGTCTGAATCTTATGCAGCCCATCAAGTGAGGTCCATGTGTAAAGTCACCATTTGTGTCTTTAAAAAAAGGTATTTGCAATGGATAAATCATTGAAAATACAAAATTTGATCATTCTATTTTTCAGTCTCATTTCTATTACCAGGCTCATATTTTGCAACTACTATTCCTCCTTCCTGTTTCCAACTTTTGCATTCCACTCACCAATTATCATTATTGCCTCTTGATTTGGTCAATTTCAGACTGCAAAATTGGGTAAAAATTTTCAATTTCTTTGTCTTTGGCTCTATATGTAGGAGCATATATTTGAATAACAGTCATATTACCTTATGGTTAATATCCTGTCACTCACAACATTGCATTTCAGGATAGAACTTGAAATTGACTTTATTTTACTGTAAGCGCAACAGTATTCTTGTTTTCATTCCATGTTCCAAACTGACTTATAAGATGTGTGGGCAGAGTAAACATTCAGAATGAGAGCCCTTATTCCTGAGCACGTAGAAATTATTCATTGGCAAAATCCAAAACAGGGTAAGCATTGGATTTTCCTTGAAAACTAAAGTCCCTGCTTATTGTAAGTATTTTGATTGCCAAAGCAACTTTTTATCACTTACTTTTCATTTCCTGGTTCCTGTGTCCTAATGTTACGTTAGCTGTTCCTGGCATCTCTGGGTTTTCTGGGTTCCCCCTGAGCACAATGCTGGCTTAATTGATGCTAGTGAAAAATGTATAATGTATAAAACAGTTAACTTTGTGTTTATAGAAAACATTGTGTGATAATTGCACAGCTAATGCATTAGTAACAATACGAGGTTCTCTTAAATTTGGACTCACTTAATTGGGTTCATGCTGATTGGATTAGGAACTCTGGTGGCATAGACCTTAAGGAGTTGTGCAGCCAAGTCAAAGGCACATGGTTCAAATCCACCAGCTGCTCTGGGGAGAAATACTGGCAGGTTTTTTTATGTGATTTGCTGCCTCTGAAACCTGCCTGAGGGCCAGTCAGAAGGTGGTCCTGGCTGGATAGTTCCGGCTGCAACAGAAGGGTAACATGGCTAACATAACAGACCAATTCTTTGTTCAGGCCTCATCTGAAAACAGCTAAAAAAGCTGTATGAACAATTTAAAAGCTTTTTTTTAGTGTGTTTGTGAACTGTCAGGATTCTCAGCAACACAAAATGAAAAGAAAACAGACACTCAGAGTTGTAGCCAGAGTACTAAAAGCAGTTCTCACTTCCTACACCTTTACAAACTTGAATTTCCATTTTTGTTTATTTGCCTTTTGGATTTCACGGAGCACAGGGCACAAAAAGCCAAGTCTGAGGACTGCTGAAGTGAAGACTCTAATAGGATGGATCCGCCATGCATAGAGCTGGGACATCAAAGATCCATGCCCCCAGTTACTTGCTTCAAAACTTGGTGCTGGGTAGGGGCTTGTCCAGTAAATTCGCAACGACAAACCAGCCCCGAGGAGGATTGAAAGCCTGCATTAGTATTATCAGAGCATACTTAAAAACTCAAGACTGGAATTACTTTCAAGTTATTCAGAGATTCTGATGTCTCTGCTTGCTGGAATCTCATGATTGGTACAGAAACAAGATAAAGTTCCCAGAAATACAAACTCACATTATGGAAGGTTAAGAACTCAAACAACTTAAGAAATAAGAACCCTAAACTGATTTCCGGGGGGGGGGGGGGGGGGGGGGGGGGGGCAGAGAGAGAGAGAGAGAGAGATAGATCTCGAGATCTCTATCTCTCTTTCTCAGCAGGATTTAAAATATCCTAGGTTTCTTTTAGTGTTCTGGAAGCTATGAACGGTAATTGATTTTATTAGATGTGGATCTTGGATAGAAGTAAAAGAAAATCCTTGATAGCTCAGTCTTTTGTCTGTCTATCATGATGAGGGGTTTTGTTTTCTTGATGCTAAGTGTAATCTTTATTGGAGGCTATAGTTTTTATCTTCTCCAGTTGGTGCTTCAGGTCCTCCTCACTTCCCCTCAGCACAGTTGTGGCATCTGCATATTACAGGGTGTTGATGAGATCTCCTCTGTCCTGACGCGATACTGTTCATTTTTCAAAGCCCATAGAACTTCATAACATAAAGAGTGAAGCCTGCTGTAAACTGTGGGCCTCAGATATTTCCACAACTGGAGAGTACACATAAACCACGTACTTAATGAGTGCATCATATATTATACTTGATTCTTTAAAAACTCACTGTATTTTCCCCCTCAAACACATCGTAAGAGTTTTCAAAGAGATGACGTCCTCTGGTCACAGTGCCATTCGAAATCAGTAACAAAAGAATCATCAGACTCTAAGTGTTTGAGAATTATAAAGCATACTTCAGTATGACTCAAAGGAACAGTGAAAACTTAAAGGAATAAAAAGAACACATATATAAACCTACAAGGTGAACTAAAGCACTATTTAAAGAAGCTCTAGAGGGGTGTGTGTGTTACCTGATGTACGGCCAGCAGAAAGGTCAGTGATTCACATCTACCATGTGCTCTGTGGGGGAGAGAAAAGTCACCCCGCTCCTAAAAAGTTCCGGCTTCGGAAACTCAGTGGAGTGTTACCATGAGTCACCATCAACTCAGTGTCAGTAGGTTTGGTTTTATAGTTCTGTGAAAGGATAAACCATGAAAGAATAAAATTAGTTCAGCCTCCAAACAAAAAATTAGAAAAGTAATGCAAAACAAATGCAAATGAAGTAGAAGAAAGATTCTAACAAAATTAAGAGCAAAGATCAAATAGAAAAATAAACCAAGTGCTGAATTACAGAAGCACTGTTGAATTTTGAACAGGTATGTTGCAGAATAATACATGTAATATCATTGCACTTACATATGAATTTGTTGGTGGTGTCTCATAGTTAACCAGCCAGCCAGTTCAAGTCAGAACCAAGTCATAGTTAACCCTCCAGCAGGTTTTCCAAGGTGGGAGGAGATTGCCCATCTTTCTCCCAAGGAGCAGCTGGTGCTTTTGAACTGCCTGCCTTTGTGGTGACAGCATAACGCCTTTCGCTAAGCCACCAGAGTTATGTGTGGTAAAGAGTTTCAGGTCATGCTTGCCCCTGAAGTCAGTGGGAGGGCATGGGATTGTGGGATGACAGGAGGAAGATCTAAACTTGCTTTTTGTTTCATGTGTGCCAGCCTTTTGCGTTTGTCTCTTTTATAACTTCCCTGTTCATCCCTCCATTTCAAACAAGGTCATTGCTGACATGGAGAACCAAATGCACAAGCTGAGAGAAGAGCTGATTAATGTCAACTCGCAGAGGAAACAGCAGCTCGTGGAGCTTGGTCTCCTTCGAGAAGAGGAGAAGCAGAGAGCTGCGAGAGACCACGAGACCACTGTGAACAAACTGAAAGCCGAGTCCGAGAAGATGAAGATAGAGCTGAAGAAGACTCATGCTGCTGAGACGGAGTTGACACTGGAAAAGGTAGGCCAGCACCCCTCGAGACAGTGGAGCCCCGCGTAGACTCCTCGGCCCGCGGCTGCTGCGTCTCCACCAGCACCTCCTATCTCTCTAAGACGCTCATGTGGGTTGCTCTCCTGAAGTCAAAGTCTTCAGACGAATACTTTGAGTATCTTGCCCTAAGTCTTAATCGATTCTAAAATCATCTAGGTGATTTCCTCAATTCCCCCTTGACTTTCATGGAAAAATGGAATATTCCCTTTTATAATAACTAGATGCATGTTATTAGAAACAAATATACCCGAATATTATACTAATTAGCAGTATTTGGGCTTTAGTCTTACTTGGTCTTAGGTTCGAGCTGTACTTCAGATCATTGTAAGGTAGTCTAATAATCATTTTGTGAAGCTTTTTCTCTTTTTAAAAAATGTATTGATTTTTTTTTATTTTACATGGGTTTGCATGCAAAGTTCCTGTGCATTGTGTTCACACTCCCCTTCCTTCACATTGTGTTTCATACAGTCATTCTCCTTCATTATGTTTCATAAAGTCAATCCCATTAAGCCATTGCCCATCATTATCTGTCTTTCCAGATCTTTCCCATTTCCTTTACTTCCCCTCTGCCAACCAAATTGTACCACCCTGTGATTTCCTTTCTGCCTGCTCTCATCTTTTTGTTCCTACCCTTTCCCCCAAGGTCTCCATATATGGTTTACTAGTTATTTTTCTGTTTTTACAACAATGGTCCTATGCAATATTTATCCTTATGAGACTGAGTTAGTTCACTCAGCTTAATGCCCTTCAGTCCCTCCCAGACTATGTAGTAATTTTTGAAATCATTGCCCCTGAGTGCTGCGTACTATTTCATTGTGTGAATGTACTACAGTTTCTCAATCCATTTGATTGTGGTTGGACATGCAGGCTGTTTTCACATTCTTGTGATTGTGAAAATGCTGCCGTGAACATTGGTATACAAATCTGTTTGTGTCTCAATTCTGATTTCCTTGGAATATATTCTTAGGAGTGAAATCGCTGGATCATATGGAGTTTCTGTGTTCAACTTTTTGAGGAATTACCAAACTGCCTTCCAGAGTGGTTGTACCATTTTGCAATCCCACCAACAATATATGAGAATTCTTATCTCTCTACATCCTCTCCAACATTTATTGCTTGCTTTCCTATTAAACTTTGCCACTGCTACTGGGGTGAGATGGTATCTCATTGTGGTTTTGATTTGCATCTCTTTTATTGCCAGTGATTTTGACCATTTCTTCATGTGTCTTTTGGCCAATCCTAACGTCTTCTCTGTGGAAAGTCTTTCAGTGTTTCTTGCTCATTTTGTAATTGGGTTATCAGTCTTTCTCTTCTGGGGACCTTGTAGGATTCTATAAATTTTTTTTTACGAGGCCCTTGTCTGAGATGGTATTGCCAAGTACTTTTTCCTAGTCAGTAGGTTTTATTTTTACCGTCTTGGGTAAAATTTTTAATGTGCACGGGGATATAATCTGTAGGTGGTCCCACTCATCAATTTTATCCTTTCTTGGTTGTGTATTTTTTACTGTATTTGACATAGGTGAAGCCTTCTAAGCTTGGTCCCAATTTGTCTCTAGTGACATTTTTATGGTTTGGGGCTTAACACCTAGGTTTCTGATCCATCTTGAGTTGATTTGTGCGTCTAGTGAGAGGCATGGGACAGTGTTCAATAAAGGAAGAGAGCTCTGCCCGTAGGATTTTGCGCTGCCAACCACAGATGGCATCCTGGCGGTTCAGATCCACGAGCCGCATGGGAGAGAGGTGAGCAGTCTGTGCTGTTAAGATTTCTGGCCTCAGAAGCCCAGTCGGGATGAGTATGAGTGAGAACTGACTTGGCAGCATTGACTTTGAGTGTCTTGGTGTGGGGTGTTCTTGTTTATAGAATTTTTGGTTTTTCAGATTGATTTTTTTCTAGAACAAAAACTTTTTTATAATTACTTTTTTTAAAACTAGATGTCTGGATAATGTTCATATGTTTGAGTTACTCAATACACCATTTCAAATACTCTTTTTTTGGTATTTCACTTGGGCAGTAAATGTAAACTGCTATTAGTCATGACAGCTGTACATTGTTGCTGACTTAACACTTTGAGTCTATTACAATGTTTTACCTCTTCTTTAGCATTGTATACTGGTGAGTCTTGATAGAGAATCCCATACCTTTCTATGAATTTCACATTCCTTTTACATACACCTAATCTTGAGATGCCTACTTTATCGGAAAGTCAGATTTAGCAACTTTGTCCAAGGCGACATTGCTCTGGATCCAGACGTCCATCCCCAAAGGACTCTGAAAAGAGTGAGCCTGGTTTCCTGGTAGAAGTAGGTCAGTCTGGGTGGGAATGGGTGATGGAGGAGGACAGGGGCAAATGATGAAATCTCACTACTGGCAAGGTGCCATAGCAATGTTAGTCATCGGCATGGGGGCAAGCAGTCGAGGTAGGAAGTCCTTGAGGGTCCAAGCGAGGTGCATAAGAAGTAATAAAAGCCTGATCCTAATGCCAGTGGCATAGAAGACGCATGCTTCAGAACCATTTGAAGACAGTATTGGTTAGACTTATTGCCATTTCAACACTTAATAAAATGAGAAGTTTCTGGTTTGAGGAGGAAGACAGTGAGTTCAGTTCAAAGCAAATTGGGTTTGAAGTGTCAGTGTTACACTTAGCCTTGGTATTTGTCCACTTGCTATTGAAAGGACATTTCTAGAGGTCATAAATAAAAGGCAGGAATGGGGTAAAAATGGCTGTAGTGGTCACCCACAGAGAAGCCATGACGTGTGGCAGTGGGATTGAGTAAGACTATTAACAAGAAGAATATGGAAAGAAAGAAAGAATAACATGATAGTTAAGGAAGAATTTAAAGGAAGAATTACATTTAAGAGGTTAACGAGAAATAAGTGTCAAGGAAAGGTCATCTGGGTGAGAAGAATATGGGAATTGGTTTTCATAGAGGTAAAAGAAAACTGTATTTAGAGAGGGAGGTGTGTCAGTCATGTTAGAGAAAATCAGGAAGATTGGAGGTTGAAGAAAGTGACTGGAATTGTAACTGAGAAGTCATTGATTATCTTGACTGAGGGTAGGCAGTAAAGATGTGGACACAAGTCGGACATTATTGGCAGGTGAGAGAGTGATGACGAAGTGAAGGCTAAGTTTTGGAAAATCTGGTGTTAAATGTCCCTTGTGATTCTAAAAATCAACAAGCCTTGAAGGGAATGTATTTTAGGCTGGGAAAAAAATTGTATTTTGAAGTACATGAGAGGAAGAACTTAACGATGCAAAGAACTGTAGATCCTTGAAAGCTTGAGGTCTGAGAGATGGAGTTAGAGCAGGTCTCCACCAGAGCCCAGCGCTGCCTGTGGTTACAAGGCTCCCACCCGATGAGTCTGTTTCAGGAACCGCCAGGCTCTCCTGCCTCCAGATCTGTGACCCTGCCACCCCTTGTGCCTGGCATGCCCTGCACAGAGATTTTCTTTGGGCCTCAGTGTCTACTCACTGACCTGTACTCCTCCCAGAACCTTTCCCTGACCTCTGTAGCTAACCTGCTTGACTCTGCCTGGGACTTACCTTTGTCTTTAAAAGGTGAAATCACATCTTTGTTTATTTTCATTTATTGACTAATTCTTCCATGAAGATGTAAGCTATGTTAGCACAGTCTTTTGAGCTTATTACTTTATCATGAGTGTCTACAAATTGGATTCATTTTGTGTACTCACCAAGATTATTTTAAACAAATTAATAAACAGAAGCATGACTTTCTGTGAGGGAAGAAGAAGTTTGGTCAAGATACAGTAGAATTCACTATTTGCACCTGATCCAGGCTATAGTCTTTGCAATTACATGCTATGCATAGGAGAGTTGGACAGTGACTAGGGATGATAGAAAGAGAATTGATGGCTTTGAGCTGTGGTGCTGGAGAAGAGTGTTGAATATACCATGGACTGTTAGGAGAACAAACACGTTCATCCTGGAGAGGGTGAAGCCAGAATGCTCCCTGGAGTCAAGGATTCTGAAGCTTCGTCTGACATACTTTGGGCATGTTGCAAGGAAGGACCAGTCCTTGGAGAGGGACATCATGTTCGGGAGAGTGGAGGGACGGCGCAGGAGAGGAAGACCTCGATGAGGTGGATCGATTCTGTGAGTGGAGTCGTGGGAATGAATGTGTTTGAGACAGCGAGTTTGGCACAGGATAGAACGGTGTTTAGGACTCTTGTACATAGGGTCACTATGAGTCGCAAATGACTCAATGGCACATAACAACAACAACATATGTAAAGTGAGATTATATCTACTACTACATCTTCTTAGTAGATAATTTCACTAGTCTGATCACAGAAGAGAGTTTCAAAGAAACTGAGATGCTGAGGTTTTAGGCTGAGCACATGGATGGAATGCCTCTGAGAGAAAGAAGTGAGGGAATTTGCTGAAATAAACTGGAGTTACGCAGGTAGAGGGGTGAGCAAAGGCAGTGTGAGTCTGGAAGAATGGGATACTCCTGACTTGAATTGAGAATGGAGATAACATAGGTCACCTCCTTGGTGGCATAGGAGGCTAAGTGTTGAGCCGCTAACTAAAAGGTCAACAGTTCAAACCCACCAGCTGCTTCTCTGGAGAAGCATGAAGCAGTCTCTTCTACCTAAAATGTACAGACTTAGAAAACTAGCAGTGGATTACAAAAAGTCAGAATTGACTTGATGGTGATGGAATTGGTTTACTTGTTTGATTTTTGTGTAGTAATTTTAGGAAATAGGCCATAAAGAAGTTGAGGAAGTTGATCAAAATGCCAGGACTGGCAAATGCGGCAAATTACAAGAGGAGAGAACGTTAATTCGGCTAATATTTAGTCGAGCTTAGTTCTTTTTCAGTTGGCAAAATGAACCATTTTCCAAATTCTATGGGAGTAGGCCCTTAACAAAAAGAGTAATTTGTATTTGTGAAGAATATGAATTGTTTTTATCTAACTAGTGAAAGAAATTTTAGTATTTATACCCGCAG